AGCCATGTAAATGAGCCAGTGTGATCTTTTGTAGAATACCAAAATGATCTAACTCCTTTCAGATTACATTATGACAGAGAAGAGGAAAAATGTCACAGCCCCACAGTAAGGCAGTGACAAGCACGCTGCTGTCCTTTCCAGACGAAGATGAATTAACTAGTATGAAAATAAAGCATTTTCTGAATCAATAAGTGAAGATAGCTCCCAGAGGCTGTGTTGATACACTCAGTAAGTATACCGTATCAGAAACAGCGCTTGCAATTTGCATCCCCATGTAATTAAGTTTACAATGATGCAGTCATTCTCTACCAAGCCATCGTTTTCTCACCAGCCAAAAGAAAATTTCAATGAGCGTATGGTATGAATCACCGTCCCTGCATCTTCCAAGTCTTTGATGGTGGCACAAATCTCTGCAATTACCCTAAGAATGTCAATAGTATATGCTTTCAACCAGTGGGAAAAAATATTGTGCTGTTTCTCCCAGAACACACTGGTCTGGGAACCCAAAGTAGAGGTGAGAGTGGCCCTTCTCACTATTACGCCTAATAAATCACTTGCATAATTTTTGCTTCCTCTCCTTGCAGCCTTGGGTTTCGTGGGTTTGGAGATCTTAGTGTCCAAAGGCAGAATGCTTCCACTAGGGCACAAAGCCATGTTTTCATAAGCCCGGAAGCTGAGGGTGCTCCTTGGCCATTTTAGGTTCTCATACACTAGAGATAACATTATTTCACTTCAGTGCCTCACAAAATAAATGTCTTTAGTAGAATATTTTGCACTGCACCTAGAGTATTAAACTTCTGTGATAAAAAACAACAACAATAGTTAATGTTAAAGCTGCACATTTTGAAAAACAGTATAGAATGAATGTCCTTATATCAATATTAAAGTGATACAAGAAAGCTATTGTTAAACAAATATTTTCAAAGGTTCCTGATAAAAGAGTACATTGGTATGCATCCCTGGAAAGCTATCTGACAATATGTATCCGAAGCAGGGATTGATCAAATACAAAATTCAGCCTGTTTTGTGCAGCCTGTTAGCTAACAGTTCTTTCATTTTTCCATATTTAAAGGAAGGGAAGGAGAGGGAAGAAAGGAAAGGTGAAGGGGAGTGGGGGAAGAGGAAGAGGACTAGCAGCAGCAACAGAGACCTTGTAGCCTTTAAAGCCAAAAATATTTACTATTCGGCTCTTTACAGAAAAAATTTGCTGACTCCTATTCTAAAATGTTAACATGTTCTTATCCTTTAAACACCAGAACTTGACTTATGGAAATCTATCCTAGAAGAATAGTTATTTTGATATTCTAGATCTTTGTAAAAGGTACAGTATAAGTCATCCATCAAAGTATAATTTATGGGGCGGCCAGGTAGTCCAGTTGGTTAGAGCGCATGCTCTGCACAACAAGGTTGCCAGTTCGATTCCCACATGGGCCAGTGAGCTGTGCCCTCCACAACTAGATTGAAGAAAACGACTTGAGCTGAGCTGCCACTGAGCTGATGGTGGGTGGCCGGATGGCTCAGTTGGTTAGAGCACATGTTGTTAACAACAAGGTTGCCAGTTTGATTCCTGCATGGGATGGTGGGCTGTGCCCCCTGCAACTAGATTGAAAATGGTGACTGGACTTGGAGCTGAGCTGTGCCCTCCATAATTAGACTGAAGGACAACAACTTGACTTGGAGCTGATGGGTCCTGGAAAAAACACACCGTTACCCAATAAAAAAAATTTAAAAAATAAAAATTTTAAAAAGTATAATCTTTGATAGAAAAAAAATGGGAAACTAATTACCATAAACATTATATAAACCCTTGCTGTAAGAAGTCTTACTCTTTGTTCTGAGCTGAATTAGACACCGTGGGAGGCAAACATGAAGGATGTGGCAGAACTCCATTTCTCCAAAGGGTTTTACTTTCAAGCTCAAATACATAGTTAAATAAGTATGCTCTCATTTTCTATTCTATTCACTTTGAAATATTTCTGTTGTTTATCATTCTCCTTTTTGTTAAAAAATGTGGACAAAAAAGGGGTTCTATGAAAAGTAACCTCACAGGGTGATCTGATCGTAAATTCCTAACTGAGCAGGTCATGATGGATAACAGCATCCCAGGCATATAACTTCTTTAATAAAGGCTTATCTTTGCCCCAGGCAAGCCCTGTCCAATGTTTCTGTGCATCTAGGTTGAAATGCCTCTTTTCAGACCCCTCCTTCTAATACATGACCACCTTTTCAAACCCCTCAAGAGAGCATATAATCTTAACTACCCTATAATCTGATTCTGGCCTTGCTTTCTCCCACCTCCACATAATCTTCCTTACATCCCATCCTTAATTTCAAATATGTAAAGGAAACTGCAAAACTGTTATTCTCCAGAGCATGTGAGATCCTGTTTCCCAACATATGTCATCGGTTTGGCTCAAATAAACTCTTATAAAAATTCTCTGTAGGAGCATTTAAGACCTTGCTCCCTGGCATATGTTGTCAGTTTTACTCAAATAAACTCTTATAAAAATTAAAAAATAAAACTTCTCTACAGGTCTGGACGTTTCCTATGTTGACAAAAGAAACAACAGATCCCAAATGGAGTCACTTTGCCAAGCCCCACTAAGACTTACCGTATTTCCCCATGTATAAGATGCACTCTTTTTTGAAAATTTTGGGGTCTAAAAACTGGGTGCGTCTTACACAGTGGTTGTAGATTTTTTTACTTGCATTTCCCGCTTTTTCGCGCTTGTTGTCTTTGCATTCATTGTTTCGCACTTGTTACCGGTATATTACGGTAGGTTACGTTTTGCCACGTTCTGCCCAGAGATGGCTCAGAAAAGATTTTTGTACAGTGCTGAATTTAACTTAAAAGTGATCCAGTTTGCAAAAGTGAATGGAAATCGTGCTGCTGAATGTAAGTTTGGTCCTCCTCCAACTGAGAAAACAATCCGAGACTGGCTACGGGCAGAAGAACCCCTATTGAAAAGGCCAGGGCAGAAGAAGGCCATGAGAGGCAAGTCAGCAAAATGGCCAGATTTAGAGAGGGAATTGAAGATATGGATTAAAGAGCAAAGGGCAATTGGAATTGCTGTGTCCACAAAGATGGTTCAGCATGAGGCAAGAAGAATTGCTGATGAAAAAGAAGTTATGTAATAAATTTTTTTTCAAATTCGGGCCCCAAAATTAAAGTGTGTCTTATACATGGGGAAATATGGTAATACCTAAACTAATTGCACTTTCAGCCTCTCCCAGGATAGAATTTTAAACCAATCAGTCTGAAATTTCCTAGTCAGTATAGTGAGGTCATCTGCCTGATTAGACCCCCTGTCTTTTCCTAAGGGAAAGTGACTTGCCTGAAATAATCCATTCTTTTAACTTTCTTGTCCCATTATCTTTCTGCCTATAAAAACCTTCCATTTTGTACAATTCCTTGAGGTGCCTTTCTTGTTACTAGATGGGATGTTGCCCACCTGTTTCAATGAATTGCTTAATAAAGCCAATTAGATCGCCAAGTGTACTCAGTTTAATTTTGTTAACACTTCAAACTATAATATGCCCCAAAACAAACCAAAAAAACCTAACCACCAAAATGAATTTCATGTTCTCACACAGAATATTAGAGGAGTCTATGTCTTTTCAGAATGTTTTGTTCAACTAAGCTATCATGGTTTCTTTTCCTTTATATTTTGAATCTATTTGCTCAAACACAAAATTAACCTCAATGATCTTCTATTTAGTAACTTGTTTTTAGTATTTTTATCACTACCTCAAAATTGCCTTATTTTGTCTTCCCCCTGAGGAGACTGCTATAATCTCAAATGTGATTTTACTGTGTCTTGGGGCTATCGTCCTACCAGAACACAGCTTCAATTTAAAATGCATGTCAGTAGAAAAATCAATTTACTAAAAGAAAATTAGCTTCATAGGCAAATTTTTCAGGAAAGCAACTGATCCATAAAACGAGCTAAATCTATACAAAGAATAGAACTGAGTCCGTCACATATTTTCAGCTGAGAAAAACTTGTCAATATACCCAAGTTTAAGATAAACATTCTCTGGAAAGATTCCACCAAATAATAGAACAGGAACCTTTGAGTCTAGCATTGCTGAGCAATTATAAACAAGCACAAGATGGTCAATAATGGCTTCAGAAGAGCAAAAAGTATTAGACCGAATTGTATTCTGTTGACAACTATTTCAGGAGTAAGGTTTTTACTGTGGACTTCCATTTTACTCACATACATACAAGTAGACTTTCTTGACAAATTATCACAATTTATCATTTAAAATAATAGTATGAGGCAGTGCAGTGACTTGTTGCTAATGAATGGAAGCACAAATAATGATAGGGATGTAGAAAATTCCTAGAGAAAGCCACAACCACCCTAGTGTGATGTTAGGGAAAATGACATATCAGAGGATTCAGCACAATTGAAACACAAGCTGTACCCAAGATGGCTCCAGCCACTGAAAAGTAAAGGAAATGAAAACACAATTACTAGGGAAACTGCTAATATGTATCTATTCCTACAGCAATGTCTCCCAGCTAATTTAATTCTAAAATAGTTCCATAATTTGCCATGAAATCAAGGATAGAGTCAATTAACTGAAAAGAGAAAATAGTAAAGAAAACATTGGATAATTTGATGTAAATTAGTAAAGGATTGCATTGCTGAAGGGATCTGATGCTGTCTTCTCTGCAAAAATAAAAAAAAAATTCTATTTTTAAAACAATGTAATTTGGATCTTAATATTTGTAGCATTAAAAGAAAGAGCAAAAGAATGTTGAAATTTCATTGTGATAGCTTCTGTAGTATGCAGAAAATAGACTGATCTTCTCTAAGGCTTCTCGGAGAGATGGTGGAGCTGCCCTGGCAAGGCAGGATTTTGTAAGATGGGGAGCTGTCTTGAAACAATGACATACATGCTCTGACCTGATCACCAATGTACATGATGCTCTCTCTCTCTCTCTCTCACTGCCTGAATACAGGGAACCAAAAACTGAAGGGTTAATAGTAAACATTTCACTCTGGTTCTAATGATTCTAGGCCCAATGCCCTGGGTGTTTCATTACCAAATGGAGATATGCTATCACTGAGCAGGGGTGGGGAGCAAGGGTCTCCCCCAGAATTAGAAACAGAAGCTTTTTCTGGGCCATTTTGAGCTCTTCCTGCCAAGAAATGAACATGCGAAGAAAAGGGGCCCTGATGAATAGCTAGCATGATTTATCCTAGTGAATGGAAATAAGATGACTGGGGGCTCAGGAGGGTATGAGAGGGACCTGGACAGGTTAACAGAAGACTCTCATAACGTTATCTAGGCTGGAAGATTTAGGCCCCTCAGAAATAAAGGCTCCCCTCCTCTCCAAAGAAATTCTGACTAGCTCAAATGCTGGCTAAAGGCAAGAACAACTGGACACGGGGAATGACTGGAGAAAGACCAAGCGTAGTTCATGGCCTTGTGATTAGGTGGATAAACAGGAAATCTTGACTAAGTCTGTATTGTTTTACACACTGTTGGGATAGCTAGAGATTGACAAATTACTTCCTGTTTTCTCTTTCAATAAATATTAGTTATTTTGTCTTTTCTTCCTCCTTTTTTGTCTCACTATTATATGTAGGGTATATTAATTGCAATAAAAGTATTAATTTGATTCATAAATTACAAAATATTGAAATGGATCATGATGGGACAGAGGAGACATGAACACTACCCAGTGACTATGAACTCAAAGAACAGTGTGATTCATGATATCACTTCTGTCTCCCATAATATTATCCCAAAGCATCCAAGGGATCTTTTAAAAATGTCACACTGTTCCTCAGATTACACTCTTGCAATGGCTTTGCATCATAGTTTTAAAAAATGAAAAAAAAAAAAGGTAAACTACTGGCCTTAAAAAAAATCTCACCTGATCTGACCCTTGTCTTCCTTTTTCTCCCCATCTACCTTCTCCCTTACTCACTTCATGCCTTCCAGCCACCTTGACATTCTTGCTGTTCTGTCAGTACAACAACCTCACTCTTGTCTCTGGCATTTACATTTGGTGTTCCCTCTTCTGCAATTCTGTCCCCAGATCATCACATGGTTGACTTCTTCACATCATTCGGGTCCTGCTCGTTCTTCTAGCAAAGAAGCTTTCTTATCACTGCCCCTCCTCTGACAGCAATTTCTCTCTGAAGTATTTTATCCATAACTCTTACTATTGATTGAAACTATATCATTAATGAGTCTCAGACAAAGTTGGCTATAGCAATGCAAGTCATCAGATCAGATTTTCTTCTATAGAGATGCTACTGTGGTGGCCCCTCTGTTGAAAGAAAGATGAGAAATATTACAGATGTTTCATGTAGGCCACTTCTCAATTACAGTTAATTCTTAAAACCCCAGAGGCATGTTTATAGACCTTATGTAAATAAAATAAATTTCAACTTGAAAGCCATGTTGTTGGGAGTGACTGACTAGAATGCAACATTGGCAAGACTTCTGAAGCCATGCTCAGGGGTGAGAAAGGATCTCCATAATTGATTAGCAACGCCTTCCCTGACACAGGAGGAAAGAGTGGTGGTGTGTGTGCCATGTTTTGCCATCCTTGACTAAGTCCTCAGATTCTCCTTTTGTCTACTCACTTTCTGGCAGTTTTTACTGGCATTCTCGCCAACTTAACAAGAAAACAGAAGAGATATGAAACTCAATTGGACAACTTAAAAAGTTGCTACTTTGGTAAAAATTTTGATGGAGGAAGTGAAAAAAAACCACATAAGGCTAAAAGATATGCTGAAATAATCAGTGAGGGTGAATCATCGATATATTGCTTAACACAAGTAGAGAAAGGAGATAATGGTATAGGAGAGAAAAGGAGAGAACTCAAACATCTGTTTATAAGAGAACAGGATTTATTTTCTTTGCCCTTCAAGAAAAGACAGACTGAATGATGAAATCAAGAAATTACAATGTGGAAGACACTTGAAGAGTCTTTGCCATTAATAAAACATTACTTTTATCTTCTAATTCCCTAATTCTGCTGTTGAATCATTAAGCAAGGACAGACGTAGAGAAACCAAAGATAGGGAGAAAAAGAAAAAAAGTGAAAGTGTACAAAAAATTCACTATATAACAAAAACTTCCCAATCACCCAAACTCCTCTCCCCACTCTTTAGAAAGGTCAACTGATAGCCCTTGGCTCCTGACATGTAACTATATCCCACTCCTCTTTTGATGTTCTCACCCAGAGGGATTTAACTGCCCTTTCCTTGATTCATTAGATGGTCACTTCAAAGAAACTCCAAAGAGGCATCATTTGCCCAAACAACTCCCCTGTCTTAGTAAATCCAGATAAAACCTCAAAAGCAATTCATCCTAAATTTCACATGTTATTGTCTTTGGCCCCTGTCAGTGACCTCAGCCTACAATATTGATTACCACTCTCCTCCCAATATGAATCTTTCAGACAATCCATCAGTTTCCAGAACAGGGAAAGAATTATATCCAGTCCATTACTGAAAATGTCCCAAGATCCACAATGAGCCCAAGAAGAAACCAAACAACCTAGCAAACTCCTCGTTAAGTTTATTACCTTTTACAACCCATTTCTTACCCCAAAGTCAAGGAGGGAATGATCCCAACTCAGCCTAGGGAGTGCTTCAAGACAAAGTGCATTTAAGATGAAGATGAGTACTTGGATTAGTAATATTTTATTAAATTAACAAATGTCTCTAACTACTCTAATATGTAAATAAGATTTGTGAGGTCCCTGTGAAAGGCAGAAATGGTCAACATCACTAGTGATAAAACAAATGCAAGTTAAAAGAGTAATAAAATACATCTCCCCCATCAAATCAGAAAGATAAAACTTTGAAAATATGCAATGCTGGTAACAGAGCAGTAAAATAGTCACTCAGTCTCTACAAAAGCAGGACAGTGCCCACCTAGTCATTCAGTTAGCCCTGGTGCTTCACATGGTGCCTGGACATAGCAAGTTTCCATTAAATATTCATTGCATAAATAAATGAAATCAGCGCATGGCTACTCTGCTGGTGGGAGTGCAATGAATAAAATTTGGAGGAACAATTTGATAATAAATATTAAAATGCAGATATTAGTCATACTTTTGGCACTAATTCTTCTCTTAGAAATCCACTATAAAGAAAATCTTTAAAAATGCAAAATTTCATGCAAAAATGTTTGTCACATTATTAAAACACTGAAAAAATATAAATAAGCCAAGAGTCCAAAATTAGGTGATAGTAAACAGATGGCCTCCATGCAGACTATCTCACAATAATCAAAACTATATTTACAAAATTATTGGAAGTATGGGAAAAGGCTTATAATATACTAAGCCAAAAATTTTGTATCATGTATAAGAATTTTATTTAAGCATAGTAAATAAAATGGACAGAAATGTAACATTAATCTTTTTTTTTATGGGTGGTAACAATAGAAGGTTTTCTTTTTTCCTAGCCTCATTAATCTTTTTATATTCTTCTTTAATGGCCATAAAATGCTTTTGTAATTAAAAAAGAAAAAGTAAACTTCTGAATTAACAGAATAGGAAGATCACTTTCTGAGGAGGATTATTCTGACACACACCACAAATAATATCAACCCATAGCCCCTGACATCGGGGCTTCTCTTCTCTTTTTCATTTTAATGTTTGACTATATTCAGGGAATATTTTTACAAGTACAAATCAGTAAAGTGTTTTGATGGCTAATTTTAAGTCTTATGTTTTTAAATTTATTAAATCTCAATCAAAATCCTCCTGCTACTCCTTTAGCCATTTTCTATTTGTTATTGGTGAAGACAGAGCTTGTCAGTATTTTCAGACAATTAAAAATTTTCTACATTAAAATAATTTGTAATGCCTTGGCACACAGCATATTTTCATTAACTTTAATGAAGTTCTAGAAACAAGGCCTCTATTTTTTTTAATTGTCTTTGTATAGCACCTAAGATAATTATTCAGAATAAATGAGATAATATATGTGAATAAGTGCTGTGTAATTATAAATTGCTACTCAAATGTTAGTTTTAAATTTTTTGTGTTATACCATTTCTTACCTTATATTTATTTCTAATGGTTTATCTCCCTCCCATTCTATGAGCTGTTTTTTTCTGTGTGTTTTCTATGGTGCTTTGCATATGCTCTCTGCAAATTCTTTATTTTTAATGTATGTTATAAAATGTTTTCAAACCTACACAAGTAATTTAAAATATAAAATTTTATTATAATATGTATTATAATTTTATATAAAATATTTTAAAAATTAAAGGACCCTATGAAATACAAATCAAAACCACAGTGAAATACTACATAATTCACATCCACTAGTATGGTTATAATAAAGAAGACAGATAATAGCAAGTGCTGAAAAGGATGTGGGGAAATTGGAACTCTTATACATTGCTGTGGAAATGTGAAATGGTGCAGTGGCATTGGAAAACAATCTGGCTCTTCCTCAAAAAGCTAAATATAGAATTACATACACTTAATCCCACTGCTAGGCATATTCCCAAGAGAAATGCAAGCATATGTCCACACAAAACTTGTACACAAATGTACATAGAAGCATTATTAATAATAGCCAAAAGGTAGGAACAGCCCAAATGTCCATCTACTTATGAATAAACAAAATGTGCTATATCTATACAACGGAATATTATTTGGCAATAAAAACAATAAATATTGAAAACATTCTAATTTAAAGAGGCCAGTTACAAAAGACCACATATGGAAAGATTCCATTCATATAAAATGTCCAGAACAGGCAAATCTATAAAGGGAGGAAGTAAATTAGTAGTTACCTAGGGCTGGAGGGGATTGTGGAGAACTGGCAAGTGATTGCTAATGAGTATAGGGTTTTGGTGGTGGGGGTAATGAAATGTTTTAATTGATTGTGGTGACAGCTGTATTATCTGTGAATTTACTAAAAGCCACTGAGTCATACATTTTAAATGGGTTCATTATATGGCATGTGTGTTACATCTCAATAAAATTGTTTTTTCAAAAAGGTCCTGTGAGTTACCATTTTATATGAATTGGTAGTATTATATGAGTATAATTTTTTTGGAAAGAACTATGGCACTAACAAAATATTCATCTTTATACTACTTATATTTCTACAAGTTTACTTTAAAGAAAGCATTTAATGGAAACAAAAGGCTATGTGAATAAAGATGTTAATCACAGTATTTTCTATTGGTTTTAACTTGGAAACAATTTAAATGTCTAATAATGAATTTAGTATTATGGTTCATCTAGATGACAAAATATAATCTATTAAAATTATGAATTTTTATAATTAATAAGATTGTATAGAAATATAAAAGGATTCAAATAATCACAGGTAAATATGAAAGTATATAATATATAAATGACCATAGTCATGTAAAAAGACCTATCTCTATGAAAACAGTTGAAGTGGTTGGATTATGGAGTATTTTTACAGTTGTCTTTTGCTTTTTTGTAGTTTTCTTATAAAAACCTTTTAATTAAAAAAGTTGAAATTGTTATATTGCTCCATTAAACCAGTAGTAAGCACAGCCATCCAATAAAATTAAAAGGTTCCCCAGAGATGCCTAATGAAAGAGTACCCAGTACATGTGGAGAATTTCAGGCACCAGTGTTTGTTTTGTTTTGTTTTGTTTTGTTTTCTGAATTTTTATAATAGTTTATTTGAGCCAAACTGATGACATATGCTAGGGAGCAAGATGGTGTCAAATGCTTCGGAGATCAGTGTTTTATTTAAAATCTATCACACACAAAAAAGCACTTTGATTATATTAGAAGCAATAAGGTAGCTACAAAAAGTCCAGTTCACTAAGTGACTGGCACATATTCTACCTGTATTCTGATATATATTTATTATCCAGTATTTTTCAAGTGCACGGTAACACTCACTGCTGCTCAATCAACAGAAATTCAAGATATTGTCCTCATTCTCCCAGGGCTCACAGCTGAAAGTATTAGCATAATACTTAATTAATACTTAAGTAATGGGAGTCTGCACACACATGCTGTGACTATGGTTTGCTAGGAAGTGATGTGTGGAGATGGCAAGAAATGAAGGGCAATTATGGCAGAGGTATACCAATCTTGAGGGCTACAGCTCCTGTGCTTACATTTCTGAATTCACATTATAGCTGCCCTCAGCAGTGAGGTGGACAAGGAATGAGTTGAAGGTAGAGAGGTGCTACTAGAACCTTTGCTATTAGGCACGCTGACAACAGAGAGTAAGTATGTACATTTATATGTATGTATGTGTTTTGCAGGGGATGAGGAAACAAAATTCTTACAGGTAATGTACA